CGGAATTCTCCAAAAAGGAATAAAGTGAAAACATGATATCTTAGCCTCCAATCCAGATATGAAACATAAAACCAAGAAAGCTGAATTCATTACCATTACCTAATAAATAATACTGAATCACCCGCAAAAAGTCGCTTTCCACTAACAAATAAACTCCAACCGGTTGTAAGCAGGTGGCGTTTTGGTTGTCCTGTGTAATTAGGAATCACAAGATAATGAGAAAAAAGACTTTCAGGAAAAGAACGACTAGTAAAAGCAAATTATGGACTTCAGCAAAAAATTTAAATAGTTTAAAGTACCGCGATATATGTGCCGGAATGTCCACACATTATCATGCAAATCCCTCGCTACAAGTTCTTGAGCAGGTGGGGTCATAGAGAAATCCTAAAAATGCAATAGGAAACTGTTAGGTTCTGGACCACCCCAAGAAAGCTTCAGAAATGGAAAAGCCACTTACAAGAGAAGGGAAGATCTTTTCAGCTGCCCGACGTGGCACAGAAAAACCTCCATGAGTGCTCGTATCACTAGCAGTTAATGTCTTGCAGAAAAACTCTGTTTGTGGCTTATTTGTTCTGAGTGAAAGATCTGATCTCAATAAAGCATCCTTGTCAAACTGCACAGAAGGTAAGATGGCTTGAGATGTGCTCATGGACAACCAACATTTTGTCTCAATTTTGTTTTATTTCTTATGGTTGCCAATGACAAGAGGAAATATTGAAAGCACGATTTGCATCTCAGAAAAACTCTTTGTTATCAGAAAGGAAATACTTACAGAAGGAACAGGCTGAAGAGTCATTTGAGCATACACCTCATCCGTCTCCAGGTCTGCCTGCAAAATCAAACAGGTCGGGTTGTAACTAACAAATACTGGGAAAATATGATCATTTCTCGAATTTAAAAAAAAAAAGAGCAGTTATTGTACATGCAAGGTGACATTATGAAGCAAACAGAGAAGCTTAGACGGAAGATTTGGGTAGTTTGGGATTTGAGCATCTACATCCTTCTTCATAGATGCAGCAACCTGCCAAACGACCAGGACAGAAAATTACAAGTGAATAAGTGAGTAGACGAATAGAGATGACAAGCAAAGACTAGTACAAACTTTTAGGAACACATAAAATCATTCAGAAAATTAATTTCACAACAAATGAAGTTAAATATCCAGATCATGTTGGACGAGTGTTGAACACCTGGCAAAACTAGCAACACAACAAATACTACCAAATCTAGGATTAAAGCATATTCATGAGAATAAGGCAAAATGCTAATTCACCAAGAAGTAGAAAACCGTTGGGAAAACTTCCATGACAAGGCATACCGCATAAGCATCATTTCTTTAACCACTGTTTATTAACATTACCTTCCTGCAGTGTGATAAAGAGACTTCCTTCTAATAAACCATTAGATACCTCAAGGGCTCAAGAGCAGGAGTTGGAAAAACCTACTCATGGAGTCTAACTCGTCTGTGCTCTGGAAACACCTAACAAATACTCCTCTCTTTTTGGAGAATTTCACAATAAGCTCAAACTCACATCAGCATTTGTGAGGACTAGCATTCTCACAGATAAAAATTTAATATTTAAAGAATCACAATTTTCAAAATTTACAATTTAACAGTGACAAGAACAGTTTATAAAATTAATCTTGTAACATCAGGCTACCAATGAAACGACCCTATTCTTTTTTTGTTAATTTGGAATTGCCAAATTAAATTTCACATCAGTAGATTAAAGATTTAGGACAAAATAAATAATTTTTTATGCATGGAATTAATTTCCAAAAAAAGGTCTTAAAAAAAACTAAATCAACAATCATAATCTGATAATAGAGGAAGTGTTTCAGATAATAAAAACCCAGAACTCAACTAGCATTAAATTAACAAACAGCACCCAGTTACTACCACAAAAGTGGTGAATGATATGCAGATACACTGAAACGGCGCACAATAGCAGAACTCACCACAACAAAAAAAAAGGAAAGGTTAAATCTTTAAAACTAAATCCAGGTTACTGATGAAAGAACAGAAAATAAGGGAACACTGAAGAAAAGCTAGAGGTGCAGGATAAGTGGATGCACCAAGATGGTGCATAATAGCAGCTAACCGCAAACAGACCTGTTCACTGTGGCCCTGAGGGAAGTAGACGACGTGGGTCCCAGCAGCCGGCAAGTTAACCAGCGGCCCTGCGCACGCTTGCCATAGCTCCGGGTTTATGCTCTTCTTCTCTCCTCCTACTGCTGCAGCAACACCATGTGTCATAAACCTATTTGTCAGTCCTGGTGATTCTATCATTCCCTCTATTTTCTTGTTTGTTTTGCGAGAAACCAGAAAAAAAAATATGGAAGATTTGGACTCTTAGACCATCAAATTAAAAGGAAAAAGAAAAAGAAGAGATGCGTCATCGAGTTATCCCTGTGGTAACGCAGATGAGGTATTTGTAAGCATAAAACAAAAGAAGCTAAAGGGTCAAATTTCTTTTTTCCCTCTGCCTTTGAAGGACTTTGATTGGAAGCTGAGAAAAATAAAAAGCCAGAAAAAAAAACCGGCACTAACAAAGCTGACAAAGCTCTAAAGAGAAAAGACAAAACCATAGAAGCATTTCGTCACCGAGCCATCGGTTCTCTCAAAGCTCCTTAGCTCAGTTTGTCAACTCGAGTACACATACAAAGATACGGAAACTCTGATAAACAATCAGTATATAAAGATGTGGAGAAAGAGGAGTGTGATATTGCTGTGTCTGAAGAAACATAGAGAAAGCTGACCTTCAGCCGGATTAGGTGCGGCAGTGGCAGAAACAGGACCGGCTCCGTTAGCTGGCATCTTCATTTAATTTACACCTGGCAATTTTCTCGGGAAAATTGACCGGAAACTTTCACCTGAGATTCATTTCGACTTTTTTCTTAAAGTGGGTAATGGGAAATCAGCTTTGCAATTGCTTTTTTGAGCTCTCAGTTGGAAACTACGAAGACCCAATCAAGGGAAGATGAGGGGTTGAACTCAGATCAACTCCGGGAAAAGCAACAAAAAAAAAAAGGAGCTGATGAGTAAAGTCAACGAATTCCGGCGAGAAAAACAGACGCCGGCGACCGGAAGAAGGAAATTACGGGGAGATGAGAGAGGGGTTCTGTTAGGATTCTGAGAGACCAAATGCTGAAGCTTTGCCCCCTATCTTCCCCTACAATGCCCAGACATTTCCATTACTTTCCTTTCTCTTCTCTTTCTCTCTCTGTCTGTCTTCTTCTGTTTCTTGAGAAATCAGAATACCCTTTTCCACTCTCTTTGTCTACTTTCTCTCTCTCTCTCTATCTTTTGAATTTGTGCCTTTTGTGTTTTTTTGTTTATTTTCTTGAAAATGGCACTGACTAATACAACACCCTCTGGTGTCTGATTGACCTCTGAGGAGCTAAGAAAGGGGAAAGAGGATGGTCTTTTTTCTTTTTTTAATAATTATATGCCTGTAATATATTATTAATGTGTAATAATTGTATTATTTTTTTTTTGTAATTTATTACCATTTATTTTTCTATTTTTTAGTGAAAATTACTTTCTAATAATTATTAATTTATTAGCATTTATTTTTCTAAGTTAACTACATGCTTTTTTTAACACACGTAGTTAATTGTTAGTTGTTAGTTTTAGTAGAAACTTATGTTCAAGGGTATGTAGATTTTATAAGTAATTTATTAAATGATAAAATAAAATGCTTTTTATTTATTTTTTTTTTAAAGTCACTCATAAATAATATACTTTTTATATTATAAAATTATAATAAAATAATTTTACATATCAACTTCCAATTATATGATATTGTATTTTTTTTATTGATAAATATAGATACAATTAATTTCTAATTTTTATATAGCAAGTGACTAAATTTATGGAAAAATTAAAATAAAAACTCGATAAATTTAAACTAAATACTTAATTTCATTTCACTTTTTTTTTTAAATTTTATCTCTAATAAAAATTACCTCCCTTGGTAACCGCGGTTAATTTTTTCATACGTGTGCATGGTTGAATTCCAAAAATGCCCTTCTCTTTTCAAGTAACCCGTGATTGTCATGCGTACATTGACCACTGCGTTGAGTCTTTGACCGTCACAATCACTTATTGGAATTTCCATTATCTTGTTTTTGCTATGAATTAATTATTAATAAAAGTATAAAAGTTTTTATGGATGTATATTTCTATTTTAATTTTTAATTCAATATATAAATCCAAATTTCATTTATCTTGAACAAAATTAATATATATTATGGTTTTCAAAATAATAATGAACCTCCCCATTTCAAATTATGAAAAAAATATATATAATTTGTATCAAGGCTTAAGCAATAATATTAAATTTTTATGTAGATTTAACAAATAAAATATATTTACTTAAAAATATGCAACAAAATATTACTTCTAGATATGATATTTTTATTTTTATTTTTTTTTTTATATTATTTAATCATATCAAATTTTAATTTAACAATTTAATCATATAAAAATTTATGAATTTTTTATTATACAATAAATTTAAATTTTTATTCTACGTATAGTTGACAATTTATTTTAATTATAATTGGGTCTTTTATGAAAAATAAACATATCTTAAAGAAAATTCCAAAATAAACTTTGATTTATCATGCAAATTATATGATTAAATATGAAGTGTTAATTTTGGTACTATTCATATTAATTTCAACTCTGAAGCCGTGTATTACAAGTAAAAATAATTACCAATAATAATAAATACAAACGAAAGTCTACATTTATGAACTTCAAATGTAGTTATTACAAAAATCAATGGACGTGTGAAAAAAAAGGTGTGTCGTAGAAGAATAATATTTGAGTAGATAAATTAAATCAACATATTAAATTTTAAATATTTGTTTAATTTTTGAAATTCACTATACATCAAATCTTAATATATATTTGATTATTTTTCACATCATATATATATATATATATATAGCTTTTAACTCATTCATTCAATAATATTTTTAAGACCAATAATTAAAATAATATTACATTCAAATTTTAATAATTCTTATTATTTTCTTGCCCCTTAATAACCTAATTCAACCCAGTTGATTGTGTATTTTTTTTTTAATTATTATCATTGTATACGTATATAGTTATAATTTTAAAAATATTTATAGGGCTAATTACATATTTTAAAAAATAAATAAAAAAAAAGAAAATAGTTAAATTTCTCCTATAGCTATCAGGTCATTTTCTAAGGGCATGTTTGGTTGAAAAAAGTTAAAATATAATAGAAATGGCAAATAAGATCACAATCAGGTGGGTGTGGAGAATCCTCTAACCCCATAAATTGTGTTATCAGGTCATTTCTTGTCCACGTCTCACAACCCTAATATTTTGTCCAGTTTTTATGATGTCATCTTTTTTTTTTCAATTTATTTTTTTTAATCATTTAGATAATAATTCAAATGGTAAATATATATATATGTGTATATATATATAGTAGTTTAAGGTACTAGTTCAAATGTACAATTTTTATAATTGACATTTAAGTCATAAACATTTAATCTATCGTGACAAAACTTTCACATTATATCGTGATCGTGACTATGTTATAATATTGATTAATATTGTATTTGACGAGACTTGTAATATCTAATAGTCAATATAAAAATTAATGACATATGTCAAAATATATTCTTTATACAAAACTATCATTTGATTTTTTAAATTTGTTATCTTATTGTATTCATTGAATTGAGACTTGTAATGTCCCGTACATGAAAAAATCTATAAGTCATTGTTAATCTGTTATATAAAATTTAATATATTATATGTCAATAAATATTTTCATGTAATTTTAATTTTATTTATCTACTTATATCTTATCACATTATATGATATATTTATTTTATTATTAATATTTTAATATATGTAAATACTAAAAACAATAATTATATTAAATATTGTGTAATTTGTCAAATTGTCACAATAATAGCCAATTTCCTTCCACTCCATTTAATAAAAAATTGAAATTCCTTTGTTATTTCTACTTTTCTCTTTTTTTTTTTAAATATATATTTTATTACGATATCGTTAAAAGTTAAATAAAATAATTAATATATTTATTAATTCGTTTAATAAATTTATCGACTTCCAATCTCTTATGTTCCTCTCTACAAATCTTTATTATATTTTCTACGTGTATTATTATGATATTGTTTAGATCCGATTAACTAAACATTAATTTGTGGTTAGTTAATTTATATATATATCAAAGAGATATATAAAATTATAATTGCAATGAAAGCTACAATTATATTTAGTATATAATTAGCAAGTAAACTAACTTATTTATACAACATGCTATTGTTAACAAAGAAGATTCTTATATAATTAACATCACATTTTTTTAATATTAAAATTTAAATATTACAATAAGCATAGATATTTTTAGTTGTAGAATTCGTCATATATGTTAATTAATTAAATAAAATATTTTTTAAATAGCGAGTTCATACTTTATTATGATTTTTTTCAAATTTGGTAGAACAAAAATCAAACATTAAAGTCCTTAACGGAAAAATTCAAATAGAAAACTCGCCTATCTCCCACTCAATTCATTTTAATTCGGATAATAACAAGAAATTACATTTAAAATATTAAATTTTTTTTTTCAGTTTAAATTAATTGAAATTAAAACTAAAAACTTTATTTAATCAATTTCAACTAAAATTATATCGAAACGAACTAATTTATTTGATCGTTAATTTTGTAGATGGAAGATTGCCCTCGTAACTCTACTAATCCTGATTAGTATAAAACAAACTCATTGGTCTGATAATCTAATCCAAATTGGACTGAACTTAATTGTATAATCCAATTGTTCAGTTTGGATCAGATAATTAACACGATTATGTAACGTGAATGTAATTTAGTAAATGACTACAAAACCGAGGGTAATTTAGTAAATTCAAAGTGGCAGTTCATTATTAAGGGAGAAGTGCCCCTGCCCAAACCTCACATGGGGGTACTGTACGGTCACTTGATTGATGGGTTAATTAGAATAATATAATCCTAATTAATTAATGATTAATTATGAATATCTGATTAAGTGGAACTCAAGCAACTTTTTAAATGTCTAATTATAGCCTTCGTAATCTCACCACTCACCCTAATAACTACTGCTGACGTGGCGCACATGTCGGCGGCTACGAACCACCGTGTATATTCGATGTTGACAGCTCTGCTTTTTAAAATAAATAAATAAAAAAGCTGGTTTTTTCTTTTTTTTTTTTTTAAATTTATTTTACATTTTTTATATTTTGTCCGAATGCCAGACATACTAAATTAAGGAAGTATTAATAGTATATATTTTTTAATTAATTAATAATAATGATAACAACTCATAAATTAAACTAATTCCTAAAAAGCTAAATATGCAATCAATTATTTTATTAATTAATAATTTATATTATATTATATTACTAATTTTTTATCAATATTATTTATATGTATACATAGAATATTTATTAATTTATTTTTCTAACAAAGTCGGTAAGTTGAGAAAATTATATGATTTGATAATACCCTGACTTGACGCACTATAAAATTGTTGTTTTTCTCTTTCTTACGAAAAAAAAAAAAAAAGTGTTGGTCCCACAGACCGTATTTCCTGGAAACCTGGTGGTAGGGCCCAATATATTGACTACTCTAATCAAACGAAAACCAACCGTTCATCTCAAATCCATTACTGACGTGACAATATCGACGGTTCGTACTAAATCCACTTGTAACTCGCACTTCCCAGCCGTCTACTGGGCGATTCGGCTCCGTCGAGAAAGCATTTGCCCGGCTCACGCCCGACCCGCTTATTATTTTATTTTATTCCAAAGATAAAATATTAAAACTCACAAAAAAGATAAAAATTGTTTGAAAAATATTCTGTAGGCGCCGGTGCATGATATTATGGTGGGACCAGAATCAGCAAGAGCAAGATGTGTTGTAATTGTCAATCTGGACCGTAGAATCTGTATAAATTTACAACACCGACATTCAAAGCGAACAATGATTGGATGACGTTAACGATTTGAGTTTAGGCTGCCATGTTTTATATTTCATTTATAATTAAATAATTATATTTAAACTACATATAAATAAAATTAATCGCTAATTTAAGAAGCTTTTTATTTAATTTTGTTTAAGTACGGCCTAATAAATACACACAGTATTTATAGCTAAAAATTTAACTTAAATGTTATAAAAATAAATTTAATATAGTAATTTAAATTTATTGGGTTATATTTAATTATAATTTATTAAGACTTAAATTTAAGATTAAATGGTCATCACTAAATTAATTACAAATATTGTTCTAAAAATTGTGGAAGCCGAAA